GTAATGAGCGATTTAATGAGCTACTGTATTCTCCAATCGACTAACCCAATATAAATTACGATTTAGAAAACAGTGTAAAAGCTGCTTAACATCGCCTATGTGAACCTTGACTTTGAGTCTTTGATTAGCATTCAAACTGTAACTTATGATTTCACTTGCAAAATTGATTTTTAAAAGGTGTTTATCAGATACGAAGGGCTAAAATTTTGACTATAGTTAATTAGCGATTTTCACATTAAAAATAATAGTTTATGTTTCCCATCAATTATAAGTAACCTTATTGAGAATAAACAAAGAGATAAGATATTCATAATCATGGTTAGGTTCTCATAATCAAAAAGTGCAAAGGAATCTCAGAAAAAGAACAAAGAAAACATGCATCATGTAGAAGAGAGATAGGCAGATAATGATTTTATTGATTTTTGGTGGTTTTGTTCTTTTGGGTGAGTTGTGAGTATTGGGAAATCCGGATCTTTATTGGAGCAGGTGCATCTCGGACAGGTTGTTTTTCGTTTGGCTGTTTGGTTAAATTGTACATTAGCGTAGACCGTCTCTTGATGAAAGCCAATGGTGCTGATTGCTATATGAATGAATCAATATTGAATATTCTCTCGCATTTTGGTTGTGACAGAGTGAAAAGGACTTCTTCACGTTTAATTATAACATCTGAAATCAAAACTTGTTACAAATAGAGAATAATCTTAAAATCATTTTGTTATTTCTCACACCCGTTAATCTACGTACAATTTATTCAACAAATTACTCATTATTTTTGACAACAGATACAATAACCATTATTGTCGACGGTAAATACAATATTGTATCGGAAACAAAATAAAAAATATTGATATTCAACCCACTTGGACTAATTGGAGTTGGACCCTTTCCCAACTCCTCCTTTTTGCAACATTTCCCAATTTTGCCATTAATGTGTCTGGGCGGGTGCTGGTTAATTATCAATATCATCATTCGGGCAAGTGGTCAGCCAGCCTTGACGAAAACAAAATTGTTATGAAAACTGTTGTTCTACTCCTACACACAGGTCCCACGTTACGTAAATAAACTGGAACAAGGAATTTTTGACGACGTAGAAATTGCTATCCCTATTCTGAATTTAATGATAAGCGTTTTGGAGATTTAATATTAACTTTAATTGCTGTTTTTAAATTATTGTTTCGATTAATGAGTTTATCATTCGAAAATGTTTGATTCGGACGGTTTATCTCATTCTATAGATCGCAATCTACTGAATATGGAGGTTGTGAGTTTTTTTTCTTTTTAAACTGTTTTAATTATGATTTAGTACTGCTTTAAAGGAGTGAAATATGTAATTTTTCCACTAAAATATGTATCTAGAAAAATATCCTTACATGGAGGGAATAAGAAAGAAATAATTACTCTTGAAATGGTCTTACATGAACTCTTTTTGTGGCTTTATTGAAAGGAGGATAAGTACTGAGTTCATCAACTTTGACACCGTGGATTTGCAAACGTGCGGGTTCACGAATAATCAAACATTTTTAGGAGTGATTTAGCTTAGATCCATGATTACGAATTAATTAAGCAAATGTATTAAGAAGGTCCCTGTAGAACTTGGGTCGGCAAATTCTGTCTTTCTCTAGCCGCCAAACCAGAGAAGAAAATGGAGTATTAACATAAAAAAAAAAAGTCCAGTGGGCTGCCTGCCTTTGACTATAAGATTCCACCAGCCACAGTTTTTCTTTTTTCCTCTCAGGCCTCAGCCATACAAATTTTAATTGCCTCAACTTCTGAGCAGTTTCTGAAATCTGCCGCACAAATGCACATGCTACGAAGCTTTCGATGTGATTAAATTTTGTTTGAAGACCAAATTAGTCAGTCAATTCATGTACTCCGCATCTTAATGGTTTAGTACATTATTTCTGTACCGAAATTTATTTTCCACTACATCGAACCGAAAATTTACAATAGTTGTAAAAAGTAGGAATTTAAAGGATATATAAGAACAAAAAAGAGGATTCCGTGATTATGATCGTCATCTTATGAGATTCAAATCTCTTTTGTGCTTGGAAAAAGTAAAAAAAAGAAAAAAAAGAAAAGAGAAAAATGCACTAAACCAACAACCATTTGGTTCAAGTGATAAAAATATTTGATTGGCTTAATTATATAATCCAGAATTACGACATGTAGTCCAGCTATGAAAATATTTGTTGAGAAAGAAATTTATCCAGTTGAATCTGAATTAATCGGAATAATGATTTCACAAAATCTAAAAAAAAATTCAGAATATGACTTCACAATGTAGTCCATAAGTGTTCGATGCAATAGTAATTATTTTCCCTAGAAGAGAGTAATAAAAAGTGGTCGGACTCCGGCATCAACATTTCCCAGGGTGCTTATCTGGTCAATTCACCATGAGATTCAATGACAATACGACTTTTACATACGCGTTTATCACGTTCGGAGTCATCGTACGTTAAAAATCACTTTTGCTTTTGATATACGATGGTTAAAAAGAAACAATGACTAACTTCTTACTTTTCACCTCATCAGGATAAATCAGGTACCTACTGTAAAGTGAAAAGAAGGAATATCCGAATATGCTTTTTACTCATACAGTAGATAAAGGCAACTATTACAACAAGAAAACATATCTTATGATTTTGCGAAAGCATTTACGGATTTTAATAGCACAAAATATGATAATATTATGTAGAAGTTGTCTCCATTGCTTTTGATCAACTTTTATCTCATTATAAGATGGAGGGAATTTAAAATTTTGAAATTATGTGATCAATTTCTCGAAAATTTTGAATTACAAATTGCTTTTACATATTTTTTGTTTCTGAAAAAAAAAAAAGAGAAGAAAAGAAGAGACAGCCAGTATCTATCCCAACAAATTAATGACGTTCATTAAATTGATAATTAACATAATTAACTCTAAGCAGCTGAAATGAATGTCAGAATCCAGAAAAATGAAACGATGTTTGATTAGATAAGTCACTAAATGATACTCGTAATTTAATTATTCTGATGAGTGATGATTTAAAATGTCTTAATTCATGTTGCTAATCGATTTTAATTTGTCACTTGCAGTTACTACATCTTGCAAGGAAAAACTATAGTACTCCCTCCATTTTTTTTACATATCTTTCTAAAAAATTCATCAAAACCAAGAAAACATTAATTAATGTAGTTGAAATACAAAAATAACCTTATTTATTTTCTATACAATTCATCACAAACCAAAAGAAATTATTATAAATATATTTTCATTTCCAATGTAAAGGGTAATATTAGTAAAACGTAGTCAAATATGTCTCGATTTGTGAAAACGACATACATTTAAAAAAATTCAACAAACCCTAAAGCGACGTATATTTCAAAATGGAGGTAGTACTAATTACTAAGTTACTAGTATTTCTCTTTCTTTTTTACCCATGAAAGCGGCTTTCTTTAACTATCGCATTTTTTTTCCCCACTTTTAGATGGCTAAATTACCTCACGGTAGGTAAGATATTACTACGAATTGACAGTAAATTTCCAATCAGCCTCTGAGGGAGCCCACGTTTTTGTCCATTGTAGCAGCTCATCCTTTTTATAAGCAGTAATTTGTTTCTTTCTGGTATAAACATTAAAGATCAGTCCGCAAGAGATAAGACTATAAGCAGTAAAGTGTGACTCAGATGATAAGCTAATTCTCATCCCGATTTTTAGCTCATATATGCAAATTCATCCCACGTGATTAGTCGGATACCCTCCAGTTTTATTTACATTTTATATTACTAGAAAGTTATAAATATAAAACCGAAAAATTAATTACGTTCCACTTTATTGATGGAGAAATATTTCATCTTTTATTTAATTTAAAAAGAAAAGTTTGAAATGTACATACTCTATCTCAAAATTATTATTCGATTTAGAATTTTACTTGTAATATAATTTAAATTAAGGGAAAATTGGTCTTTTCATTCTAAAGTTTGGGCCACACCATTCAAAACATTCTAAAGTTTAAGAACATGTCATTTACATCCCAAATTTTTTAAAAACATGTCACATTAGTATATTCGTTAAATTTTTAACTCCAGTTAATTAATTAATAGTGGTACTTTTTTCTGTTTCTCCTCTCCCAATTCTTTTAATCATTTAACACGTTCAACTAACTCCCACCTTATAAAAAAATAGCCAAACCTAATTTGAAAAAAGAAAAAAAATCCAAGATTCACCTTCTAGATTGATAACAATCATGAGAGGTTTTGTGTGTGTCCTAATTAGAAAGTAAGCGCTATTTCATTTATTTTTTTAAATATGTAGCATCATTATAAAAAATTGGTGTTGTAATTGATGCAGGGCATGCAACTTTTTTGCTTGGCATGGACCAAATTTACCAAACGCAAGCATGAAATCTTTTTTACTAAAAAAAATAGGGGAAAAGAAACTGAATGAAATATCGCCGTTAATAACTTGAAAAAATTAACAAATGTCCTAATATTACATATTTTTGAAAAGTTTGAGATGAAAATGGCATGCTTTTAAACTTTGAGATGTTTTAGATGGTGTGGCTCAAACTTGAGATAAAAATGTCCATTCTCCTTTTAAATTAATAATATAAATATAAACTATATAATAATTTTGGACGGAGGAAGAATACTATTAGCATTGAATTTCGAATCATTTCTAATACAGCAAATTGGTTTTGCAAGAAATACTTGAAATTTAAATGTGATGATGGGGCTGGTTTAACCTTCTTTTAGTAATGTTTATTCTCCCACATATTTATTAATTTATTATATCTTTCTAATTTGAAATTAATTAAGTAAGTAATTAAGTGTATCATTTAATCTTTTTGAATCTCTAAATACGGTCATAGAACAACAAAGTTACTAAAATAAAAATATAATTTTGAAAAGAATTATAAATAAAAAAATACTGTCCATTCATATAGTCAGTTTTCTTACTGCTTTCGTGGAGACCTGGTAGGAAGTACGGATGCGACAGTCAACACTCAACCAATAGAGCACTAGAAAATACCGCATTTGCCACCAACACTTCCTCCAATTTACGTAAGAACCAACCTCAGCGCCCACCGAATTTCCTGCCGAAATCACCAACTCCTAAAAATGCGGGCACACCAAGGACGAAAACGTCATTCTAACGTTTGATTTCACTTCCCTGAGCGAAGTCGGTAATGAAATGTCAAAAATAATCTCGTTCCTCCGCCGTTACAAAGTCACGTGGCAGGCACGTGCTTCCTCCAATTATTCACATACTCCAAAATCAATCAGTTACCATCTTCTCTGATTTCGACACCTCACCAACTAGCGCCCCATCTGAGCCGTCCAATGGTGAGAGCTGAAATGACGAGTTTGTCCACTCCGCCATTATAAAATCTACGCGGAGAAGAATGCCTCAAGAAATGTTTCTGAAACAAAATAGCAAAAACAGAGCAATTAGTTTTTGCCAGCCCTAATTTAGGAGAAAAAAAATTCCTTCTTTCCTCTTCTCCGTTTGCAAATCTGCAAAGATCCCTATTGCGAATGCATAGAGATGAGAGTTTCTGCGGTTTCTAACCCCCTTTTGGGCGGCGGGAGAACCCAAAAACCACCCACCGGCGGCAGGAATTGCCACCGGAAACACGTCGAAGACGGGTGAACCTTTTTTTCTCTTTTCTGTCCACTAGTGTACCAAAACCAGAGGAAATACAAGCCAATTTTCCAGTACATAAAAACCACCCATCCCCTCAAAAATTGTTAGTTTCTTCCTTCTTTTGTTTAATTTTTAGATTTTCTTTTTAATCCATTTTTTTACGGGTCATGACGATGGGTTCCGAAGAAAAATCCGGTGTGTTACACGGGAAGTATGAGCTTGGACGGCTTTTAGGCCATGGCACTTTTGCCAAAGTGTATTTGTCCCGGAATTTGCAAACGGGCAAGAGCGTGGCCATGAAAGTTGTCGGGAAAGAGAAAGTGATTCGGGTCGGGATGATGGAGCAAATCAAGCGAGAAATCGCCGTCATGAAAATGGTGAAGCATCCCAACATCGTGGATTTGCACGAGGTTATGGCCAGCAAATCCAAGATCTATTTCGTCATGGAGCTCATCCGGGGCGGTGAATTGTTCGCGAAGATTGCTAGAGGGCGGCTCCGGGAAGACGTTGCCCGGAATTATTTCCAGCAATTAATGTCCGCCATTGATTTCTGCCACAGCAGGGGAGTGTACCACAGAGATTTAAAGCCGGAGAATCTGCTGCTCGATGAGGAAGGCAATTTAAAAGTCACTGACTTTGGTCTGAGCGCTTTTACCGATCATCTCCGGCACGACGGGCTGTTGCATACGACCTGTGGTACCCCTGCATATGTTGCCCCGGAGGTCATCGGAAAAAAGGGGTACGACGGAGCCAAGGCGGACATTTGGTCATGTGGGGTTATCCTTTTCGTGCTCTTGGCCGGGTATTTGCCGTTTCAAGATGACAATCTGGTTGCGATGTACCGGAAAATCTACCGGGGAGATTTCAAATGCCCACCTTGGTTTTCATCCGAAGCACGAAAACTGGTTACCAAAATGCTCGATCCAAATCCGAGTTCTAGAATCACCATTTCTAAGATTATGGAGTCATCTTGGTTTAAGAAATCATTGCCCAAGAGTTTAAGTAGCAAGGAGGAACAGGAATTCGCTGTGGACGACGAAGGATTAGTAAGAAAGGGAAAAGAGGCAGAGACTCTGAACGCATTCCACATCATTTCTCTGTCTCAAGGTTTCGATTTGTCGCCCCTTTTTGAAGAGAATAAAAGAGAGGAAAAAGAAGAGCTGAGATTCGCCGCCGCAAAGCCAGCCAGCAGTGTGATTTCGACGCTGGAGGAGGTGGCGAAAACCAGGAATTTCAGCTTCAAGAGGAGTGATTCTTGTGTCAGGTTGCAAGGGTTGGAGAGTGGGAGAAAAGGGAAGCTGGGAATTGCTGCAGATATCTTCCCATTGGCACCTTCATTCGTGGTGGTTGAGGTCAAGAAATCGAGTGGTGACACTTTGGAGTTCAATCAGTTCTGCAGCAAGGAGCTTCGGCCGGCCCTCAAGGATATTGCTTGGACCACCACCACCCCTGCAGCAGCTGGTGGCACTGCTTGATTCAATGAATGACTCATCTTTTCTTTCCTGCAACTATGATTATTATTATTATATATGGTAGTAGTACTAAATTGGAGTTGAATCAGCAACAGCCTTAATTGTACTTTTAGATTCATTGTTACTACCTTGATTCAATCCCTGTTGTTGAGGTTAGTTGTTGTTCAAATGAAATGGAAGTGAACCAGAATTTCGTTGTTAAGTTTGGGAATTTGTTAGGTGTCTTGTTGTGCAAATTGATTTCGTGTCAAACATCATCATCTTCATTAAAATATTTTCAGTTGGTTTGGTTAAAGTTAAAGAGACAGAGTGACAACTTTGTTTGTAACTCGGAAAGTATGAACAAAATATTTTATTTTTTTCTTGTTATTGCGTTTGTGATTTGTTCTCTTTTTTTCTTGCGTTTGTGCAATAAATCAATAAGATACAATGAATTTGTTAGGCAAATGTCGATGATATCCCTTTGGTGAATTTTCAGGATAAAACAAGTCAAGGTTCTCCCTTGTTCTCTTGAAAACTAGTGGTAGGGAAGGTATCAGGGAATACTTCCTATGTTCAATTTGGTACAATGATTGGTGCTTCTTCTACTTGTTAACTCAATAATTCTATCTTCACTAAAATTGCATATTGGTCCCCATATATGTTATCATTCCTACACGTGTCTAGAAGGTAGTAGAAATTAGTAAATTACTCCCTCTCATTATCCTTTTGCTGTATTGCATTTCATAAAGTGGTTTCTATTTGATTTTACTCCCATCCATGATCCATCCTAAAGAAGAATCATGTGTTTCTTTTATTTGAAGAGAGAGATGTTCTTAATATGTTCTTTCGTTGATCGATAGTGTAGTTGCCCATATGGAACCCACTTATCTCACAGTTGAATTGTTTAATGTTACTTTGTTTTGTGTTTGTGCCTAAAAGTTTTTGTTTTTTCAAATGTAATTATAAGCTTAAAAAGTATTAGAAAGCATTTATCATCATGATTCGAGTCTGAAAGGTGGTATGTACAAAAAAAAAAAATGTGTATCTCTAATCACGTACAATTATTGCAGGTTGGCACTGTTGCTAGATCAGTTGGCCTGGTTTGGCCGGCTGAGACAGTAGAGGGTTAAAACATGTTGATAGATTGCCCCTACTCATTCCAGAGTTACAGCTGACAACATTAACCATTATTTCCAGCACGTACATGGACCACTTTCCACTTCATCTCTATTCAATTGTGGTTAATTAACTTGGTCATCAGCCTAGCCTTGCTAAGGAGTAACAATTACTCCCTTTACCCCGAAATAGTTGTCCTATTACGATATTTATTTTTGATATTCTAATTTATGCTAAAACTGAAAAAATCAAATTAGACAATCATTTCGAGACAATTACAAAGTAAATTATAAAGATGAATAATGTATCGGTCGTTCACTCGTCTCGCCGGCCCTTTGACCTATCTAGCTTCTCTTCTCCGTCAGATCCACGATTCTCAAGCCATCCCACACAGATGGACCGTTAGATCACCTTTTTTCACTTCATGTTGGGGGTGATTGGCTGGTGTTGGATTCTAGGTTTCGGGATTATGAGTTTTCTTGTTCACTCAACTGCTGGTGTTGAGTTTGTGTAGGTTTATTTGCACCCGCTGGGGGACTTTCTGAGTATCAGATCGAAGCGTGCGCGTGTGGAGTCTCCCCTTAGTAGTACTATCTCATTCTCCATAGACCCGTGCGCGTGTGGAGTCTCCCCTTAGTAGTACTATCTCATTTTCCATAGGCCCCACTCATATGTAATAGACTAGATATTTGTAATCGTGTGCCGAAAAAAAAAAAAAAAAAACCATGGGTCACCGCGGTCAACAACCTAAAGGGCTGGGTAGCGAACTAACGAGGATCTTGTCCTAGCCGATCGAGTTCTCTCCGAGGCAACTGTTAACAAGCTATCTAGCTACCTAAATTAGTGGTTTGTAGCTTCTTGCATTTTGATGGAATTGCACATTCATTATTGCAAAGACTTTGTTGTTAATTACTATATGTACGTTTACGACATTTTTCGTTTTCATTTTCACATCAGTAACCAATAAAAGTCACATATACAGATAGTTAGAAAGGGATTATGACTTCACAGCTATTGCTACTCTCATTTTCTTTCATTCTTTGGTCGATTTTATCAGGCTTACGATAGCACTGGAACGAAGTATTGATCAGACTGGCTAGCATTTTTTGTTGTATACGAACTAATGAGTTAATTTAAATTTTCAAAGGGGGTGTATGTTTGTCCCAAAAAAGGGGGTATACACTTTTTGACTAATCTCAATTCAATCTTAATTCAATCTGGAGAACCATGATTGTTTCCTTTTTTTATAGTTTTTTTTTTAGATTATTTTATTATTAATTGTCTCATCCCATCATATCTTTTTACATTTCTTATACACTTTTTTATATTCCTAATACAAAAAAACACCTAAAAACACACACAAAAAAACGAAACAAACATAAAACTTTCTTACTTAAATATACCTAACAAAAATCATGATTTTAGTCTCAAGACAATTTATGGGGAAATGAAGACATACAACATCATGATTTTAGTCTACACATACGAATTCTAAATGTGTCATATGTATCGTACTAGTTCATTTCGTTTCTTGTTTGTTTAGACCAACTAATCATCCGAAATAAATAAACAGTTAACTTTCACAATTATCATATTGGTCGATGATATTCTTCAATGATAATTCGAGCTTTTTCAGCAAAGGATTTCAATCCTTCATTTGTTCCTCGTTATATTAAACGATGAAAATGTGACATTTAGGTAAGGAAACAACAGGCATGGATGAGATTTTTTTGGATTTTATTTTTTATTTTTACACTCATAATTATAAGTAAATTGTCCCTTAAAAATAATAATTAAATTACTCCCTTTCCATTTTGAAATGAGTGTCATATGTGGATTTATTTTACCTTTGATACAAAAATAAAAATCGAAACTGAAAAATCATTTTAAAACATAGAAAGTACTCTATCTGCCCAGAAATTATTGTCTAGTTTGAATTTTCACATTGTACTTAAAAAGTAAATCCAAACTGGAGAATAATTCTCGAATGGAGTACTATCTTTTGTGATTTCACATTTCACTTGTGCACGATCAGTTTTCTTCTTTTGTGATGTTCCTGCCAGTCCTTGCAGTATATCCTTTACACATCTTTCTTGAGATTTTTACTAAGACCGGTGACATTATGCAGTTGGGCTGGAGTTCAGAAAAGGAATAACGATTTTTATACTTCGCGAAATTCGAACTTTCTAACCTCAATGAAGTAAGACATGAACTTTCTAATCTCAATGAAGTAGTAAAGAAAATTTTTCAGTTTCCGATGCCTAAGGTCGCAAAATAAAATTTGACGTGGACACGAAAACAAGGCTGCATACGTCAATCTTAAATGTAATTGTCCTAACAGAGAAGTGAACCCATGTGAATTATTGATATCCTCATCGCAAAGTACAGTTGAGCCAACTGATCATATGTGTGGACCTTACGTACCAGAAACCGAAAATTAATACTTGAACCACATACAAATTGTAGCAATATATCTTGTTAACTGTTCTTTCCAAAGCCACAAATTCATAAAACGTCGTACCTTTGGAAACCAATATTTCAGATCAAGAGTTCGAATTCCATCAACTACCAAGAAGAAAAAAAAAAAGAAACGGCAAATCCTTTCTCTTTTTCCCTAACAAAAAAGCGTAGTGATTAACTGTTGTTCCAAATCCAATCATATTCTACTTCGAAGTTATAGAACAATTAGGGAAGTTAGGGTTTGAGTGCGAATGTCCTCTATTGATTCATTCTCACAACTTCGACATGTTTCGTATTCAGTTGTCTATTCATTTAAGTCACATTAATGGATTGAAAATCAGACACCCAACAAATTTTCCACGCCTTAACCTAACAATGTTTCATTATCACATCATTTCATCCATGACTCGTTTCATTTAGTTGATACCTTAGTTTGCTTATAGAATTAACTAAGCTCAAAACTTTAAAAATTTAGTCAACTAAATTGCACAAATGGTCGCTTGGGCTTACTTGATTTTATATCCCTAACATTAACATTTCAATATCGACGTCCCAAACATTATGTTTTCACACCTTTTAGGGTTTCATTTCACTTTTCGACCACTTTTCCGTCCAACTCGATGTTGACCGGCAGTTGACATACCGGAATCAGAGGTATTTTCGTCTTTTCATATAATTTGAACTTCCATTAAAATTTAAATAATTAAAAATATTAAAAAAATTCACATTTATTATTTAATTGTTAAAATATTATTTATTAGTTTAAAATATTATTTTAAGGTTTTAAAATTTAAATTATTTTCAAAGTTACTTTTTTTTTACTGAAATAAATGTTAATTATGTTGTACTTTTAACCCCAACCCAATGTAACTTTAAAAATTTACCAAGCCACAATAAATAATTCAAAATTCAAATTAAAAAAAAAGTAAAACCAAGATTTTTGACTTTAACCACTACAATAAATCTTGAGTTATTTATAAAATTTTACTGTGCTATAATAATTAATTAAAAATTCAAACATTTTTTTTAAAAAAATGCAAGAAAATTGTGGGGTGAAAATCCGGAAAAAATAGTTTGTTTAAGTTTTTGGCTTAGGTATTGCTCTGAATTGAAGATATAATTTAAAATGTGATTTTAGTGAAAATTTAAAAAGTTGTTGGGATAAAAATTTAAATAAAATAATATTATTTTTACACCACCACCTCCACACCTCCACCACCGCTGTCCGCCGCCGGCCGGCCGGATTTCGGCGATATTCCGGATACTTGGTCGGAATTTGGCCAGAATCCGGCCGGCCGGCAGCAGGAGGTGGTCCGGCAGCGGGCGGCGGCGGCGAAGGTGGTGGTGTAAAAATAATATTATTTTATTTAAATTTCTATCCTAAGAATTTTTTGAATTTTCACTAAAACCAAATTTTAAATTATATCTCCAATTCAAATTAAAAATTAAAATAAACTATTTTTTTATCCAGATTTTCGCCCCCTCAATTTTCTTCTCTTTGGGCTTGTTGGATTTTTTACTTCGGCTGAATAAAAAATTGGTAGGTAAAAATCCGGATAAAAAATTTAGTTTGCTTTTCCTTTTTAAACAAAAAATTGAATTTTAAATTAGTTACTATAGTGCAGTAAAATTTTAGAGTGATACGGGGTTAAAAATGAAACATAATTAATATTTATTTTGTATCCAGAATAAATGATAAATAGAAAAAGTAAATTTTTAAAAATAATGTAAATTTTAAATTTTATAATAATATTTTAGATTAATAATATTTTTATAATTAAATAATTAAATATGAATTTTATAATATTTTTAATGATTTTAATTTCAATGAAAGTTTAAATTATATGAAAAGAAGAAAATGCCCCTAATACCGGTATTTCAACTACCGGTCAACATCGAGCTGAATGGAAAAGTGACGGAAACAGTGAAATGGAATCAAAAAGTGTGAAAACATAATGTTAGGGACTACGATATTGAAATATTAATGTTAGGGACGTAAATTCAAATAAACCCAAATATAAGGAACCATTTGGACATTTTAATCTAAATGATATATAGTAAAAGAGTCTAGCGTGTTTGTTATACTTGAATTAGCTTAACTGCTCAAAATTTGCTCACTAATCAGTCATTCAATAACCGTCGTTCATCACGGTCATTTTGTTAGGTTGTCCAATCCATTAAACCTGTTACATGTTTTATTAGTTAGTTGTAAAAAGATATTCCATTAGTTTATTCTACTCTTTAGTATTTACTACTCCCTTCATTCTTTTTTATATGTTATTTTAGGATTTAATAGTTTTTTTTTAAATACATGTCGTTTTTTTAAATCGAGACATATTTGACTACTTTTATGTAATTAAAAAAAAAAGACTACCTAGCTAGTTTCACAATTCCGAGTGTAATTTGAAAGTCAGATTGGATGTCTAACTAATATTACTAGTATGTATCCCGCGCTTTGCACGGGTTCGTCAATGTTGAAAATTATCTTTCAAAAGAATTAATTAGATAATGTAGTTATTAATATTTCTTAAAACCGTAAAATTTTTTTGATTAATCAATTTTAGATCAAAATGAGAGGTATTGATATTATTTATGAGATGTATATTTGTAAGATCTGGTCAAAAATATTACAACAAAAATTTTAAAAAGTTGTATAATAAAAATTGTCACCACTAACGAATATTTTGTCTGGATTAAAAATATATCAAAAAATGGGTAAATTATGTCTAGATGCATATGGCTTATTTATAGGCAATGGGACTTTGGGGATTAGACACAAGTAATCGTCCTTTAAAATGTAAAATCGATAAAATTGAAGATAAAGTAGCACATAAATAGAACTTTAAGAGCTAAAATGATAATAAGTTAAAAGTGATGTTTGATAGTCTCAATTAGCGACACGTGTCAATTATCTTTCTTTTCTTTAATGTATATAATGATAATGATTCCATAAGATTGTCCAAACTCTGATATTGCTTCACTGATAAATATGTACAAGGCTCTGCCTAGAAAACACTTTTACTGCCATGTAAGAATCCACACTTTTACTTATCATGTCAACCATATGCAATTAAAAAAGTTCCTTAATGTTCAAAGTGTTTATTCGTTAATCAGTGTAGGTCCCTTTTCTCAGGAAGTTATCAAGTTATACGACAACAAGATTCTAGGTCTTTTATGAGTGCTTTCTGGACTGGTTAACT